GCTTATGATGTTCTCATGTTAAGAAATAAACAGATTCCGATGGTTCAAGTTCAGTGGAAGCATAGAACAGTACGAGGGGCAACTTGGGAGGAGTCGGATATGCGACAGTTATATCCGCATCTGTTCTGACTCACTTTTGTTTTAGAAATATCGAGGACGACATTTCTCTCAAGTTGGGGAGATTGTGAAAGCTGTTTTTCTTGCAAGATCGTCCAGGACGAAGTTGGATCATCCTGGGACGATCGGTACAGGTTTGTACAGGTTTTGGGGACAGAGAAGCTCGTCCTAGGATGAAATGGGGTTCGTCCGTACGAATTTTTTCCATAGAGCAACTCGTCCAGATACGATAACTATTTCATTTTATCGAATTTTGTTCAGTAGGCAAATCGTCCCAGGAGGATTTGGGATCGTCCGGGACGATCTGGTTGGATATATATGGAAATGAGATCTTTTTGAAGAGAGAAAAGCCCAGGAGAGAGTAAATCGAAGGAAAAAGAAGAAAAAGTGATTTTTGGGCGACTTTTGTCCGTTTCCGTCCGTAGCTGTAGTTGAGAATGTTGACCGACTCGAGGTAAGGCACATTCCGCCTTTCTCAATTTTTAGAAACGAGGATTTTGACGATTTTTCTGTTTCGAATTTTGGTTTCGTTAGTGAAATTTTGGTATTATTTTGTACTGATAAAAGTTTTACCGCATAACTTTTGGTATATTTCTGAGATGATAATTGTGCACGTTTTGAGTATTTTCTGGAAGATTTTTACTGGGTGTTTCTGAGATGATAATTGTACCTGTGATTTGATTTCTATTTGATCAAGTATCTATTATGTCGGTTGTACGATTTCTGTACGACTGTTTGAATTCTGTACAGCTATTTGAATAACTGCTTCTGATGTGTTTTCTGATGTGAATTTCTGGAGATTTTGATTGGTGAGTGTAGTCTTGCTGAGCTTTTAGCTCATCCTTATTTTCTGCGTGGTTTTTAGGTTCTGGGAAAGGGAAGAAAGTCTTGGATTAGCCGTTCAGTGTCTGATCAGTGATTAGGTATTTTTGTACTTTTGATTTTTGTACAGCCATGGCTTTTCTGTTATGTTATTTCTGTATGTAGCTATGCACTGTATTGTATATGATTATTTTGATGAAAGGAAGAATAAAATAGTGGATGCATTTCTTTTAATGTATTTGAAGTTTATAGCAGCTCTGTGTTTCTGTTTGTTTGAATTTCTGGAAGAAAGTCTGAAACAAATTCCAAAACAAGATCCTGTATTTTCAACATTTGTCGCGGCCCGACGCGAAGGGACTCGTTCCGGTCGGGTTGGGTCGTGACACGGGAAAACCAGCCAGCACAGGAAAAATAGTCAGGGCCACTGGAACATCAAAAGCCCAAGAGAAACCGAGGGGGCAAGGAGGAAACCGAGAAGGCAGCTTGGGGAAGGGGAAAAGCTAAACTTTTTCGCACATAATGAGCTGAAATTAGTAGATAAACCTTTTTGAATTAATGAGCTAAAGTGACAACTTAAGCATTTATGAGCTAGAACCAAGTAGATCAAAAAAATTAGCTCCAAATCAAAGCAAACAAGGCCCAAACCGAGAGCTCCAGCAGCCCAAGGGTCAAAACAAATTCTCATATTTTTTTGACCCCCCCTTTGCATGCATCAGTATCATCAGCTACGCATTAAGGAGGAGGATATAGCTAAAATGGCTTTCAGAACTGGATATATCCATTATGAGTTTTTAGTAATGCCATTTGGAGTGACGAATGCTCCAGTTATATTTATGAATTTGATGAACAAAATTTTTAAACTATTTATGGTCATTTTTTTAATTGTGTTTATAAATAATATCTTGATTTATTTAAGAGATGAAGAGCACCATTCCAATTATCTACATGCAATGTTGCAAACACCTAAGCAAATTTCAAGATGTGGGGAATGGGTTGGCCATAAATCGTTTCAAATGGGATTATTCCAGTGGATTGGTTAATGAAATTATTATAAGCAAATTCTGCTTTGGGTAAAGGCAATTCCCATTGGGAAGGTTCTCTTATAAGACACCTAAGCAAATTTCTCAGACTTCTATTACTATCTCAATTAGTCTATTCGTTTGTGGATGATGTGCACTACTGAATTGTAGAGTAGTTTCTAAATTTGGCCAAAGTTCTCACAAAAAAAATGACTTAAAAAACTAGTATCCCTATAATTGGTAAAAGTTCGTGGTATGCCATGCACTCGCACAATTTCTTTAAAAAATAATTCAACTACTTGAGATGCATCAGAGTTTTTCTTACAGGGAATTAAATGTGTCATTTTACTAAATCGGTCAACGACAACGAACACAATCGAATTTTCGGTATGTTATAGGTAATTCTAAGATGAAGTCTATGGTGATATCTTCCTACGATTTGTTTTTAATCGGAAGAGGAGTGTATGGACTAATGTTTTAAATTGTTCCTTTGAATAATTGACATGTTTACAAACTTGGATATATGTTTTCGCATGTGGGACCAATAATATTGTTCTTCAACTAAGGCTATAGTTTTTCCTTGACCAAAATGCTCTCCTAATCCTCCACGTTGAAGTTCTTGGATGAGTTTTTCACGTAGAGAGCTTTGGGTGATAAAGAGTCTAGTTCTCTTAAATTGAAATCCTTGTTGAATGGTAAATTAAGCAGAGAGGTTAATTTTGAAAGTACAACATGATTCCCAAATGGTTTTAAAGTTTGGGTTTGCGGCACAGTTATCTTTAAAAGAATCTAGGGAAATCACAATTGGGTAAAGGGTTGCCAATAAGTGGGCTCATCTGCTTAAGGAATCAGCGTCTTTATTCACAACTTTGGCTTTGTGTTTAAGATGAAATGTGTATTCTTGTAGGAAAGATGACCACTTAGCATGTTTTCGATTTAAATTTTTTGGGGACCCAAAATATCATAATGTTTGGTGATCGGAGTTTAACGCAAATTTTCTTTGAATAAAATAATTTCTCTAGAATTTTAGGGCTTGGACAATCACATAGAACTCTACATTATAAGTTGAATATTGGGATTGAGTATTTCGCTAAAAAGTAGTGATGGGTCGACTTTCTTGACTAAGTACAGCTCCTATGCCAATATGGGACGCATCACAGTTAACTTTATAATTTTTGTCAAAATCTTGGAACCTAAGAATAGGTGCTTGGCTTTTTTTGTTTCAGTCAGTTGAAATACCTTTTCAGCTGCAGAGGTCTACCTAAAAATTTCATTTTTAAGACAATCTGTGATGGATGATATCATGGTACTGAAGTTATTCATACAGTAGAAAGAAGCTAATTCATGAAATCCTCTAACTTCATTAAGATTTTTCAGAGTCGGTCAACTTCGGATTGCTTCTATTTTAAACGGGTCTACTTTAATATCATTTGCAGTGACAATATATCCAAGGAAGGTCAAACTATGAGTCATGAAATAACACTTTTTAAGTTGATGTACAAACTTTGGTCTCTTAATGTTTTGAGGACTTGCTTCACATGTTATAGATGGTCGTTGAGATCAGTACTATAAATCAGGATGTCATCAAAGTAAACCATAACAATTTTTTCAAGGAAGGGACGTAAGATATGATTCATGGTTTGTATAAATGTACTAGGTGCGTTTCAGAGGACAGAGGGTATGACTAACCATTCATAGAGACTTTCTATTGTTTTAAAGGCTATTTTCCACTCATCACCAGGTCGTATTTGAATTTGGTGATATCCACTTCGCAAGGAAATTTTAAAAAAATTTTCTACCTGCTAAATATGTCGAGCAGTTCGTGATGTCTTGGGATAGCAAACCTATACTTGATGGTTATCTTATTTATGGCTCGACTATCAACACACATTCTCTAAGTTTCATCTTTTTTGAAGGTAAGCAGGGCTGGGACGGAACATATAGTACATGAAAATAGGTGATTACTAGCGGGCAATCTCCGCCAGTAACAATAAAAAACACTGGAAATTACGATTTTTCTGCAAATTTCCGGCGAAAAACCATACGACGGTAATTCGTGCGTCGCAAATATTATACCGGCGTAAGCATTTTGCTGGAAACATTTCTGGCGGTACTTCCGGTAAAATGCCGACGGAAATATTAGACATATATGTCAGTTTTTGGATGTCGTTTTCCTGCGTATGTTCCGCCGCTGTTGCCGGCGAAAAAGTACGACGGAAAAAGTGGCAGAACATACGCCGGAATTATCATCAAATATCGATTTGATGGATATACCGGCGTAAATGCCTCCGGTATTACCGACGCACGATTACGCCGGTAATTGCCATTAGAAGTCGTGGTATCGTTTGGTGGCGAATGTACCGGTGTAAAATCCGCCGGAAACCTGTTGCATACAGAAAAAAAAGCCTTCCCGCAATCAAAATGGATTTCCACACTTGCAAACAAAGGGCATAACCCTGCAATTTAAAGATGGAGAGGTTGATAGATAGCTTGGAGAGCGGCTTGTAATTGTCTCATAGAGATTTACTGAAGGGCATAAGCCGGCAAACCCTATAGGCATATATATGGTTGTCAACGTGTAACTAAATCTGCTCCATTGACATGCAGTCAAGATAACATCTGAAACTAATAACTATGCGGCATTTTTGCAAATAGGCTATGATATATCTCTTTCGTATAATAACCCATGAATGTCTTCAATAAGAAACTTGGACTCCAATGTTGAATGTTCTTACACGAATGAATGCTACAACGCACATGTCATGGCTTTTAGTGCTTTGATGTATAGATTTTAATATACTGGCTAAAGATTGTGTACTCATCTTATGTGCATTCGTGCATACAGACAAAACATGCAACTTATGCTGTAACAATGAATTGTATAATGTATGGCATCTGTATGCGTATGTGGGAGAATCCTGCGGGCTTTATTGTGTGTGAAAATATTTTTTTTAGCATTGTCTTCTGCATTTAATTTGGCCTAAATGCATAGCCTGTAGGATTTATATAGTAATCAGAATCTTATATGCATATTTAATCTAGGTTTTAGATGTGGTGAGAAGTTGTATTAAAGGTGCCAGAGGCTGTCACAAGCTTGGCTCCATGATCCGGGACATTTTAAATTTGGACTCCTTCATTCTTAATAGCTTATGTCAGCTTTTGTATGTATCAGAGCAAGCAATGGAGGTCTGTGATCCTTGAATTTCCCTTTATCAATTGATATTATGCGGGAACTTTGATCTCATGTAGGTTATGAATCATATATCATGTCCAGAAATCAAGTCGAACCCACTGGTATGGCTTGAAGGAAACTGAAGACTTGCAAGAGGTTGCCTGCTCTGCATTGGACATTTTCTATTATTTGTTGGCTGATCTGTTAAAGGTACTTCTCTCTTGATTTTATAACTTGTATACCATTATTGTATGTCTGATATTTCTGTTTCTCTCTCTCTCTCTCTCTCATTTCAAATGAAACCATTCAGTTAAAATTAGTTACCTTGTTAGGAAGTTATGTTACATCCTTGGTTCTAGGGAATTGAAATACATAACAACGGCATTTTTTTTTCTCTTTTTGTGTGGGTCAGTCTTGCGCCTAATTGATAAATGTGTCAGCTGGGGATGCATATATTTCCTGCATCCTCTTTTGGAGGGCTTGAGTTTTTAATGTTGTCCGATGCAAAATGTTTTAAAGGAATCATTTTATTAGCATGTTTCTCGACCCATTAGATGGCCATGCACAGTTGCGATAACGTGCATTTCCCTTTCGATTTTATTTTCATTTAAATTCATAGCTTCGGAGATTGAGGGTTTTTTTTTTTGAGGTGATCATTTGATTAGCTAATCAAGGTTTTTAATGTTATGGTTTTGAGGGTTGGGACTAAACTGATGCAGTAATCCATCCTACTTGTGGTTGGTTTTCTTTACATACTTCTATTTAAAGATGTGATCAATTTCACCGTGATCCCTCATGCATTCGCCTTTTTGTTATCATATTTTGTACTAAACATAGTAGCACAGGCTAACAGTAGTTTAATTTGGCCGATAGTAGAGAGGTCTGTTGATCTGTTAGATTGTCTGAAAAAATATTGAAAATTTATGTGCAATATCATGTGTAACCTAATATACTGAAAGAGGTGAGCTTCTTGGGTTCTGTTTACTACAACAATTTATTTTTTTCCTCATTGATCTTGTTGGCTCCAGTGGAAGATAAGATTAGAGAGAGCCGCCTTAGATGGTTTGGTCACGTTAAACGGCAGTCTACCGATGACCCGATTAGGAAAGTAGATGTATTAGATTTGACTTATGTTAAGAAATGTATAGGTAGACCTGAAAATACTTGGTTAGAAAATATTAGAAATGATCTTTCTTTATTAGATTTAAACGAGAATTTGATTTTTAACAGGACACAATGGAGAAAAATGATTCATGTAGCTAACCCCATGTTGTCACGACCCGGCCCGGTTAGCTCGTAGATACGAGGCGGGAACGAGATCGGACACGAAATTTATTTCTCATCAACCACTCCATTCAATTTTAGCTAATCAAAATAGATACAGCACCTCTACAACATTATCATAACACAAGTCTATAAAAAAAAATGTACAAGATGGCCATAAAAAAATGTTTTCTTTCTACACAATTTCTGCATGCCATTCAAAATCTCAAAAATGCTATAAAAGGCTTTACAATACATCATGAAATAAGCATGAAATAACAATTGAACATGTAAGGAAAAGAATTCCTACCTCCAAAAATTTTGAATTTCTCCTCCCTTCCTCTTTAATTATGCTTCTTCTTCTTGCCACCACCTAAAGGAAAATAGTTTAACTTAAACCTTGCCAAAATAAAATTTCTAATTCGTTTAGAAGCTTCCTATAAACCTCCTACACCTATTCTTAAGGTATAACATCATCAACATCATCAACCTCTCACCAAACTTGATGTTTTTAATAATAAATTTCGGATTTAAATAAAATTAAATATTGGAAAAATAGTTTTCTCTCTAATTTTGACATTAGAGACCTCTTGAAGCTCTTAGGAACCCAATTAGGGAACATGCAACCTATAAAAACTAGGTTTGAAAAAGAACCTAACTTTCCCTAATTTTTCCATTCAATTTTGCTCAAAGAAAAAAATCATAATTTTTATATCAAAAGACTTCCCTTAAACTCTTCTAGTCATTGCTATAAAAATTTCATCAAAAATGAGAAACCCTAACTTTCATGAACCCAACATTTAACTTAAATCTCATAATGTCTTTACATAAAAGCTTTCTCAAGTCATTCGAAATAACGTTTGTGAAGACATTCACAAAGAAAATCACTTTTAAGTAAAACCCTAATTTTCAAAACTCATATTTTGGTGAAGGAAAATGCACATTAGGGTTTAGAAACATCCTCTTAACCTTCCCTAAACTTTCCTCAAAAGAACCTCAAAGAAAACTCAAGTTTTTCTCAAACCCTATAAATCTTCTCTTCCAAAAATCTTGAGAATGAGAGAAGAGAAATTGATTTTAATGCATACCTTTCACTTCCCTTAGTCTCCCCTACGATTTTCCCCAAGGTTGGCACATTTTAATGCATACCTTTCACTTCCCTTAGTCTCCCCTACGATTTTCCCCACGACCGACCCTCCCCAACCCCGCCGCCCATCACCTTGCCTCCGACCACTTTGTCCCCACCATTAATGGTGACAACTTCCCTCTTTACCACTAACCCAAAATTGGTCCCATTGATGTAGGGAGATACTCCTAAAATTTGAAATTCAAATTTTGAATTTCAAATAACTTCCAAATTTGTCCAAGCTATATTTGGAAGGTAGCTCCACAAATTCCTTCATCCATTCAAACCCCCATGTCTCCAAAATCTGATTTCAATTTCACCATAACACCCTTCCTAATTTAGCCCATTAATTTAGGAAGAGATTTAAAATTCAAATTCAAATAATTGAATTTGAATTCTCTCTTAATTGCTCCTCCCCTAATTTAGGAGAGGTTATCAATTAAGTTAAATATGAAATTAGATTCAGATTTATCTCCTCAATCATCTTAATTGCTTAGGCTCACCTCCACAATACCCAACCCCCCTCTCTCTCTCTCTTCCTCTCTCCTTGGCCGGCCACCCAAGTCCCCATTTAATTAATTAGATCCCATAAATTTGGAATCTAATTAATTCCATCCCCTCCCCACTTTCCCTCCTAATTCCCCTCTCATTTTAAAATTCAAACATTAGCCTCTCATAGTCGAACCTGAAATTTAATTTTAGGTTTAAGAAAACCGTGCCTTCCAAAAGGCCCCTTCCACTAAATTCCTTCTCTTTGGGAGTTTTATAATTGCTGTCTAAGAAATTTTAGCAACTCTGTATTGCTGTCCTGCATTTCCAAGAGGTTTCTGCTATCCAAAAGACCTCTCCAACGTGGCCAAGCTGCTGCTATCCAAGGAGTAAATCTGCTGTCCAGGATTTTCCAAGTACCAAAGCTGCTGTCCAGCAATCATGGCAACCTCCTATTGCTGTTCCGCTTCCTCTAAAGTCCAGATTGCTGTCCTGCTGCATCTCGAAGGCTCGTGGTAGTTTTCTACCTCCTCTCAAGCACCCAAGCAGCCACCGGAGCTGTCTTTCCTGTTTATTTGGGGTAACTCATCCTCCCAACTCTTTATCCTCTTAGTTGCTTCTCACTTGTGGTTTTAATAGATTCATGAGGACGATGTTAATTACTCTCCGCTAAAGCCTTAGAATTAGAGAGTTGATTGAGCAGACTCTAACATAGTGACTAATCTTGTTGTTAAGAAAGGAATTTTTGTTGAAACCAATCATGTTTGCTCCGTCATGGTAATTGACTAGTTTACAACCTTAACTTCCACGCATGTGATTTAGCCTAAGCTTGTTTTATCGCCTTATTATTTTATCTTAGCGTTTAAATTGGCATAAGTTTTATTTAGAATTGTTCTTGAACTGTTAAGCGTGCAAATTTTCCTAAGCAACTCATCTTCGCATGTATTGTTTCACATCAAGTGCTAACAGCATATGCAGTACTAAACTGACTGGATGAATGGAAGGATTCATATTTCCTCCACTTTATTCTTTTAGCTTGATTGTTTGTCCTTTCCTTCACTGATTAATAAATACGTCAATAACTATTTTTGTATTTGACCAGGGAACTTTTATAGCTTCACCACCCTTTGTTCAAATAATACTTCCTTCTTCAAGCAAGACTGTTTCAGTTTTCGGTGCCACATTATCATTGATGAGTTTATTTTCAAATCCAGTAAGTCCAAAAATATTTCAAGCAATTTTACATGCATCTGCTCAATTTACCGCACCTTCTGGATATTTCCTGTTCAAGTTACTAAATGAAAGTCCTTAAATTTCCAATTATATTTTGGCTTTGTGCAATCATGTATATGATGCTTGAATATTGCAGATTTAGGCTACGGATGAAGTTCTTCATGATGGTTTAGTTGTGATGCGGGACATCACCCTTGAGCCTCTAATAGGACAAACATCGCAAATCTATCATGTTACCAATATGGTGATAAAGCTTCATGATTTAGTGTAGAATGGAAATTGTGTAAATGAATTAGCAAAAAAAATAGAGAGAACTGATGAGACGAAGAAGAGAGGGAACTGATAAGAGGAAGAAGAAAAGAGGAAGCTGTAGAAGATAGAGGGAAGAGAAGATAAAGTTAGAAATATGGGTGAGGGAAAGAAAGGAACTAATGCACATCTGATCAATAAATTGTAAGATCATGAGTTCTGGTGAAGAAGCATTGTAGAATTCATCAATTAGATTCACAACACATAGGAGGGATGCAAATAGGGAAACACAAAGAGAAAGACGGAGTGAAACAATAAAGTTTGAGGAGCGAGTGAAGCGGAAAGGGTAGTGAGCAAGAGGCAAAAAGTTGCAGCAACATAGGCTAGGCAGTTTAGCCCAGAAAAACCTAATATTCATTGGTCAATCAAAATGAGTCAAGTTAGGTCACAAAGGAACTCGATTAGGCTAATTTCAAGGACCTTTTAGTTCTATTCTAATTTTTGGTTAAATTTTCTTTTTTTATATTTGCTTTTTTATTAGATAATAATATGTTTAAATTTAAATGTTTTTGATGAGGATATCGACAGACGTTTTCGACGAGTATATCAGCGCAGGAGGCCTAGATCGATGGCCACGATTCACAGTCTTTATTTTGATGCTTAGTTCTATTTTGATATTATGTATTATTTGATATTACCGTTTGTACCCTTGCTTTTATTTGTCTTGAGTAGTAGCCCAGAGTTATGCACGTCATTGTATTTTGTTTTTCTTTAGGCCTATATATTATGACCTCTTCTATTGTATGAGATTATGGTGGATTGAAAATTTTTCTTTGTTGATCTCTTTGTGAGTTCGTGACGTTTCCCTAGATCTCTTTGAGTTCTAGTGGTGGAGACATTTGAGGTTTGTAACTATCCAAACTTTTCCCCACTTCCATCTTCTTCTCCCATTACCTAACCTAAGCCTCACCACCCTCTCAATTCCCCACCGCCACACGAGCTCCACCGCCGGCCTCCCTTGGCCGGCCCAGCCACCGGTGGCCCTCCCAGCAACCAAGCCGCCGGCCTCCCCTCCACACCGCTTCCATGGCCGCCCCACACCAGCCCGCCGGCCAACCTGTTTCCATAAATTGAAATTCAATTTCAAAGCCTCAAATTCTTTCCTAATTTACATCTTGATCACTTAGGAAAGTTGCCTTTTTATTTTATTCAATTACCTGTTAAATTCCAACGTATCCATAGACTTAAACCATTTAGGAAACTTTCCTAGTAGAGCAAATCTGAAAATCAAATTTCAGATTTGATGCCACTGTGGGTTGTTCTCTAGAGGGCACACTTAATTAATATTAATTGCTCTCTCACTCTCCCTATGGACGGCCCTCTCCATGCTCTTTTCTCTGTCCCAATTTAAATTTAAAGCCCCACCAAATCAGCCCCTAATTATCTCCATTAACACCCCTAGCCATTATTGAATTAATTTGAAATTTCAAATTAATCTCCCTCCAGAACCACTTGAAGCTGAAATTATTTTCAGTTTTCTAAATCCCTCCCTCTCCCTCTAACTCACAGTCAAGCTCTCCCACTCCAAACCACCTTTTCCACCCTTCCTCTTCCCCTTTGCTTCCATCGTTGCTCCTTCATCTCCCGACAAGGATGCATGGCGGATCCGGAAGTTGACCACGGCTTCGCCTACAACGAACAAGGGGAGATTGACATCTTCCTCTCCCCCTTCTACGAGCCGGATTGGGAGTACGACGTCACTGTAGAATGATATGTCAATCGTATTATTTTTTGCCTTGCCGGAACCATCGAGCTTCAACGACCAAGGACCTCGTGGTCCCTCATTGGACGCTCCGTGCCGCCTCCATCTCTGTCTAACTTCCCAACAACGACGTTCCTCGGCTCGTCCTTCCTAGTGGCCATTTCATTTCTAGTGTGGAAGATCTTCCTCCGCTCAACCTAGATCCGTAGAGAGAGAGTAGATCCTCAAGGTGAACATCTCATTATTAACTTTTGGATTTGTGTTACAAGCTTTTACATTACTTCGGCTTTGTATTTGATTGAGAGTGTCTTGGTTATTCTTTGCGCATTTCTTTGCCTAAGCAAGTGGAAGACCGCGAATTCTTGTAACTTACTTTGAATTGACGCATAACTTTTTAAAGGTGACTTCTACTAAATTCTCTTGATAATCTTTTGTAACTCCAACCATGTATTACGTCAGTTTTTTTAGGATTTTGGTAAGGTTAGATTTGAGTTTTAAATTTAATTAGTCTTTCCTATTCTTGTAATTTAATTGCTATAAATAGTTGTTGGCTTATATTCTTTTGTTTATCATTGATGATTGTATGAATAGAAATTTTTTCTGAAACCAATTGTGTGCTCTCTAAATCAAAATTATGTAGTATTACAAAAGTTGTGTATTTAAAGTCACTCTCCCTTCTATCATCTTTAAATTTAGTATTAGAGCAAATTTTGATAATTTTTGTGGTCAGAATTATCATAAATTATCTAATATCTTATGAAATCAATGCCTTCGTTAGCCCATCGTTGCTTTACCTAATCCATCAATTATTAATATTCTGCATATTAAAAATCAATTAAGCTGTAAACCCATCACCCAACATCAATTACGCAAGCTCTTGTGATCCATTTGCTTGTATCACGCCCTCATCTTCCTTCTTATCCCAAACAGACTTCGTTTTTTAAACCCCTCCTTCAAATGGATTTTAGTAATTAGGAAAAAATACAAGAAATTTAATTTCTTAACGTCCAATTCTTAGCAATTCGACATATAGTTTTATGTATCAAATTGCTCCATTCAATGAGTTCAATACAATGACATTAAATTTGCTGAATTTCGTGAAAGTTGAAAATTTTTGGTATTTTTAAATTGGTTCAAATGCGGCACATGCCTGATCGAATTCGGTTTTCACATCTTTATCATCCTACCATTTGGGATATTAATGATCCATATTTGCAATCTGATGACTCTAATTTTAGTATTTGTAAGAGTAGAATACATGTGGACAAAATGTTTCAAAATTTCTTTTCCAGGAGGTATAAAAAAAGAAAGAAATATATTGCCATTCTCGAAGATTTGCCACTTTAATGAGATGCTTTAGATAAGGTCTTATGTGGCTCTCCTCTTCCCTCAAACGATCTCCTATTTTGATGTTTTATGACGGTGTATTTTAGTTTTTTTCTTCTCTAGCTAGCAAATGTTTACAGTTGCTTGTTGTACTCATCTAATTGACTGGTTATAAATTTTGTTTTAAAAATGAAATTGCTAGCGTGCTCAATTTGATATAGGCTTGGCTTAAATCTATCTTTGATTCCAACTAAGCCTGTCGCTTAATTTATGTTATTTTATTTTGATATTTGTCTGTTTGAAGCTGCAACTCATACGATTTTAATATCTGTGAACTTCTTGGTAAGCATGCAGCTTGACTTATTGTGGAATGTTCTTTTGGGTTGTCTCCATGTTTAGTTTTGTGTAATTGTTAAATAGGCTTATGTGAAGCACATGTACTATGTTTTGTCGTTCTAAACATAGGACACTTCATGCAATTTCCTTTTATGTTACATGATTTTATAAGCTCCAGTTGGCATGGTTGGGTCTGTTATTAAAAACACCACATAGCCGTTGATGAGTACAATTCTGAAATTTGAAATGCATAAGGATGCATGGTCTCACATGCTAACTGTCGTTCTTTACTTAATATTGTTTGCCATAAGTAATGGATATGTTTATGAGTATGCATATGACTTAGTATCCTTATTTTCTGTGTATTTTTTATGCGCTATTGTCTATGAATTGGAGCATTTTATATTAATTATTTGTATTATTGTATGCTTATATATGCATTTATCTGAGATTAATGTAAGAGGGGAGGGGAAATTTTTTAATAGAATATCTTTAAGGGGGAAGAACACTTTTTTTGGCTTAAATTAACATGGTTCTTTTGTCACTCTGAGAGGAGGAAGCATTAGGCTTAGTTTTTCCCCCTGACGTGTACGCTATGCATGTGCGCGTGCATCTAACATTAGTTTCCTAGTATTTTTTTTATATATCCCTTATCCTGTTGTAGTTGGTGCTTTATGTTTGAGACTAATCCTCCTTTGCTTAGTAGAACATAATCATAAGTTGCTTTTTGGATTACCAATGCAGGCAGTTCAAGTGGCTGCAACCAAAGTTCTTTCTATGCTGTGTGTTATAGCATCAAGACTTCAACCGTATTCATTAGAGAATGTTACCCTTGCTGATGCTGTGCAGGTTTACTAAAATTACATCTTTATGCTGTGATTTAAAATGCATTAAATTATTTTGACTTTCTTTGCAATCTTATCTGATCTCATCAATTTTGTTCCTACCAATCCCTTCAGATTAGTGATTTAACTGCTACGATCTGCCGCATTTTAGATGAGGAACCATGCAAAAGAAAGGATTTGCTGATCTCTCTACTCGATTTTCTTGTTTCTGCTGCTTGCTTTCAGGTTATTTAATTTCTCTTAGCACATGCATCTTTGATTGTAAAAGTGGAATGAATGTTGCTTATTTCAAACTCTATTGTTATACTTCTGCATTATCAACCTTTAAATTGTTCGAAAATGTTTCTCTGAATGAAAGAAATAGCCAAAGGCTTTCGTGTGCACGTGAAACGATTCATTTGAAGAAGATTTTCACTTTACCTAAGTCATGATTTTTACTTTTATAAGTCAGAAAATTATTCATGTTTTTTTAGCTGCATTATTGGTTTTTGGGTTTTAGCATTTTTCTCTTAACTTTTTCATCTTTTCAGATTTTATGTTTCATGTATTTGAACTTTGAAATATTTTGTTTATTCTATGATCATATGATTAGTGTTCTCTGGTACCATTATGTGTTTTTAATGTGAGGTATGCAAGTCTCACACAGGTTTTCTTTTATTAATCATAGCGTTTTTATGTTGTGTTACAATATTGAGAAATAATTTTATATAATTTACTATGGGAGAAATAATTTTATATGATTTGCTATAGTAATGGTGCTTATATATAAACAATACAAGTAAAGAATATAAAAGAAATAACAAAGATTATTCTCAAATAAATTAATTATAGAGGCTTGCGCCTATGTGAAATGTCTAGCTTGATCATAAAGTTATCATAAAATGAGAGCAACATATTTTCAATTTATTTTCAATGGCATTTCAAGATAACACTAGAACAACAACAAGTCTTTATCCCACTACATGGGGTCTGTCAAAATAATATAATAATAATTTTCGGATTAAAATAATCCTAAAAATTAAGAAAATAAAGTTTTCGCTAAAAACTTAAAATTTTTCTTTAAAAACACTTCCTAAACCCTTAGGAATCATTTTCATAAAGGTGTCCTACAAAATTAAGGTTTTAGGTCAAAAACCCTACTTTCTAAATCTTCCAAAATTTCTCAAATCTCTAAGTTTTTAACGTTAAAATATTCCTCTAAACATTTCTTAAAGATTTCATGAAGAGATTTCGAAGAAATTCCAAAATCCTAAAAACCCTAGAAATTTCATTCCCAAAAATCTAGAGATTTAAAAGGTTTCGTTCGAAAAGAATCATACCGGAGTAATCCTCTCGTCGCCCTCTTCGATTTGACCTAAAGTTCTCGTCGGAAAATCGTTGCCGGAGAAGACCCCGCCGAAGCCGCACCGTCCGCCCGTCCGCCTCTCTTCTCTCGTTTCTGCTCGGTTCGCGTGAATGGGGGAAGAGAAGGGCTCGGTTAATCCTATTAAGGGAATTAGGTTTTGCTAAAAGTCCAAAATGCCCTTACTTAAGTAAATTCGTCTTAAGAAACAAGTGAGGGTAAAATGGATATTTTGAAACTTCTAAAATTAATAACTCCAAAAATAAGCAAAATTTGGTATAACTTCTATATACCAAAACGATCAGAGTTTCGCGTAGGATTTTCTAAAATTAATTTCGTTGCATTCCGATAACCTTGAAAATTTTACTTAAAAATTCGTCGCGGCGCTTTAAAAAGCGTGCGATGCCTAAAATAGGATTTTCGGGTTTTACAGGGTCGGCTACATGAAGCCTTTATCCTATTAAGACAATGAATCATAAATTAAAAAAAGAGTTATTCTTGATGCTTTTATTTACATGTTATGAAGCTTTCATTTAATTGAGTACTCTTGTACCATGAAATTATTTAATCATTTTCTCTGTATCTAGCCTAATAAACTGTTTATTTTGTATGCTTGATGTATCATGAAATTATCTTGAACATTCATGAAATTTGACATCAGTAATTTTTATGATTTAGTTTAAGATGAATGATCTTGATTTGACATTTGGATATTGCATAATTGAAAAGTAAACTAAATTAAAATTATGTGAAAAAAATTTCTCTTTATATATATATATATATTTATGAATCTTGATCATTTTTTGCTGCTCTCATATGAAATTTGCTGTCACCGCAGTATTATGCTGATGAAAATCTTAAATTTCAGCCATCTCTCCTGGTGTCCATAATTTCATCACATGTAGCGGAAGAAAGCTTAGGAGTAAATGCTGGGCATGTTAATAACAAGCTCGCTCAAGCACTTCTTGTCAACCAAATAAATTCTGGAAGGAGAAGTGCCATTGATTCAGTCCTGAAATATGTGAATAGATCTGAACTTCTTTTTAATAGGTACATGAATGAGCATATACTACTGAAAACAATGACTTTCGTTTTTTCCCATACTTTCCTTGAAAGAATTGTAATATATCAGATGAACATTGCCATTTTTTTTGGACTCGGATTAAAATTCAGCTTACGTTAGAAAGAGGAGATAATAATGCATGACCCCCTGAATTATGTTCCTGTATCTGTCATGAAATGAATTTTTCTACTTATAAAGTGGTTTGTATGGTTTTTTGTTGGCTAAATAGTTGCGTTAGATTTGAGCTTCTTATTAATAGGTAACATGAATAGATGCTTTTATCAAAACATGTTTTCCTTCTTTCGTGGAAATAATTGTATTGTATGAACTCGACATATTCATTTTCTTCTTTGGCCTGCTGATAAAAATTCCTCATTTGTATGTTATGAAGGTAAGAGAAGACTGCATGACATTTTTCTGATTTTAGGTTCCTGTATATGCATCTGTTGTGAAATGAATTTTTTTTTTCCTAATTAAAGGTATTTGGATTATTTTCTGTTGGCTGAATAGTTGATTATTTAGATCTTTTGTTTAGTATTTCATGTTTTTATCTTATTTGTAAGTTTGAACTTATAAATAAGAATAATTTTAACAGTATACGGGCCCTTTTTATGGGCTGATTTTGTTCTTTTATTATTTTTTAAATTATCCATAAAATACAATTACTTAGTGATTGTTCGACTCTTACAGTGATCCTCGTATATTGATGAGCACTCTTAATTTCTTGAAGTCGTTATGGGATGGTGGTGTTCCGTATATGGATACTTTAGACAAAGTTAGAAAGTCTGCTAGGTTCTGGGAGCACTTATCATCTGTACTTGCCCAAAGACTAAACTTTGATCACCCTCTAAATGATCTGAGCGTTGCTGACATTCAGCATGCCACATATAGGTAATATTCAGAAGATTGTTTGAGTCTTCAATGAGTACTTTCTGCTTTCCCATCAAGTATTGGTGCAGGAGAGCTTTCATACTTAAAAATGTCGTATTTGTTTGTGTAGGTACCGTTGTCAGGGAATTGTCTTAGAAATCATGGCACGGGAACTTTTTTCGCAGGAAAAGGAATATAAGAATGAGATATATGGAACACATGATTCAAACAATAGCTCAAAAGGACATGCTAAAAATAGATTGATCTTTGAAGCTTCGCAATCTTTGATTAATGATATCTTATCAAACTGGAATGAAGGCTCCATAATGGACAATCTTATGAAATCATATTCTTTGGGTGGATATGATACAAGAATCGTTTCTCATGCTAAGGTAATTTTTCTTTATGCTTATTTATTCATTATGAAATGCTTCCGTGTATATAATTTGATCATGTTGAGAGGAATGAATTTTCTATATAATATGTTGGGCTTAAAAATAGAAGCATCGGTGAATACGAAAAGGAATCAAAATAAAGGACATCATATGTATTCAATCGTGATGGTATCTAATATATCTTTTAATATAATTACTTCCCAATATTGAGAAACCCTCCTAATAATGTCAACACCCCTATCAAGTTGGAGCATGTCTATAATTTTCTCTAGTTTTTTACATAAGCTGTCACACACGATTGTCGACCCCTCCTAATAGTCAATTAGGGATGCAGCAAATCAATTCATACAACTCATTTTACATTTTTTAATGCATCAATTATTGATAAACATTCATGAAAAACATCAGTCGTTAAGTTGAAGCAGTAAAAAAATTCATTTATTTATTTATATCTAGAAAGCAATTAACAAACCCAAGCATTCATAAAAATAAATATCTTACATACCTCCAACCAATACTTATTGTAAAACAGTACATCACAAGACATAAGATTTAAATTAAACATATTTTTACTTAGCCTCAACCCTTTCAGATGGGGACATCAAAGCTTGGAAAGTCTATCAGAGACGTGGCCATCGATCTACGGCCATTATCGAGTCGATGTATATTTGAGTCATATCATGTATTTGTCTTTTATTATTTTATTTGTCTCTTATTATTTATGTTGTATTTGTTTTCCCATTTTTACCCCTTACTTAAGGGAGGTCGTATGTAAGCCCTGAGGGCATTGTAGTCTTTTATTTTTTAGAGTCCTTTGTATGAAGCTATTTATAGCCCTTATATTTCTCTTCCAAGACTTAATGAATAAATGATAAAATTTTTCCATTGTGTGATTTTTTTGTGAGATATTGAGAGTGCTTGAGAGAGAAATCCCTAGGAGAGGAAAATCGGATTACCCACCAACCTTGGAGACGTTCGGGTTCATGGTTCTTCATTATCTCTTGTCCTCCTATTTTCATCCCCTAGCCGCCGACCCAAAGTCTTCCCGTACCCCTAAGCCGTCGGCCACGTAACTCCCCCACCACCACCCGCCACCTAGACCCCAACCCCACTTTCATCCACGGCCACCTCCACCGTCAGCCCACCTCTTGGCACCTCCTCCATCTCCACATGCCACCAAATCTTTCCTAAATTAGATTTCATAATTTTGGTAACTCTATTAATGATCAAATTCAAATCAAATTGAATTTGAAATAGTTACCTAATTTATAAATCCTATTTTAGGAAAGTTACTAAATCAATTCCTATTTAAAATTTAAATTAAGAGGGGATGAGATATTTCTTTCCAAACTTAATTTAATAGTTTAAGTAAGCATTGAATGCCTCATTAAACTCCTCCCTCCCTCGCCGACCCATCTTATGGTTTGAATTAGCAATTGTTTCCTAAAAGCCCACCTCCTCTCTTGGAAACAATCCTAATTCCCCTCAACCTCCATTGGCCAAAATTTCCACAAGCCCCCTCTATTTAATTTATTTCCAATAGTGAACCTCTCCTATTGGAATTAAATTAATACCTTCCCCCCCTCTTTCATACCCGCTGCCCCCTTCTCTCTTTCTCTTTCTTTAATTATTCTCAATGAAAGGGAATAATTAGGAAGTGTTGAAAGAAAAATTCCCTCCACTTAATCTCCCAAAACCTGAACCTAAATTCCCCTAGCCCTCCCCCCTTTGTCGGCCACCATCTCTTACCTTCTCCTACTTGGATTATTGTGAGAAACCTCTCTCTTTCAAGGGAAAACGGCAAGGACAGCAAAGGACCACCTCCCACAACACTTAAACGCAACTAGATCAATGCATGACCGATCCAGATCTTGATTACGACATTGCCTACGACGAGCAAGGACTCAAGGTTTCGTTCACATCCTTCACTCCACTTTCTTCGACGTCAATCCGAATATCAACCACACTGCCGAGGAGTACTTGGAGCGTATTCTAGATACTCTCACCGAAGCCATAGAGGAGAACCTTGGTGCCGTTCAATGGTGGATTACGTCCAAACTGTGACAAAGGTCTTCCAATCTTCCTACTCTTATATTTTCGTAGTTTAACTCTCTCTTGTGATTTGATTTGATTCATGAAGGTCTTGTTCCCTTATCTCTGCCAAGCTTAGTAATCGTAGGATATGAGTTTAGGCTTCTATGCTTATAATCTCATTGTTAGCGTATGAATTTTGTTGAAAGCTAGTTAATTTGCATGCTATTGAAATTCTAAGTTGTTTTGATAATCCAAGTGCTTGCCATGTAATTTGGCCTAAGTGTTGCCACCTCTCTTACGTTTTCTTTTTTCGTTTTGATTACTAATGATTTTAATCTAAATTGTTTTATTCAAGAAATCGTGCAAGTTCTTACTGCATACAATTAAAACCTTGTAGTCCTGCATCATTTTCCTTTCCCTTATGCTTCATAATACATCCTTAATATGTAAAAATTATATGAATGAGCTATATCTAAATACTATGTAACATTAATTTGTTCTCCTGAATCAAAAAGGCAAAATACCAATTACGATACCATTGGAAAGTAACATTATATCAGCTATTTTAAATATTTAGTCCTGAATTTAATTACATAGATGTTTTAATTGCATATCTTTCCTTTCAAATTTCATGTTATCTCTAGCTTGCGAATGTGTCATGTTAATATATCTAGGCCCATAAGCTTTATCATACAGATGTCGTATTGCCTCCATAGTCTATAGGCTTCACCATAATCTGAAGGCTTCATTGTACTGGGGTCGCATTGCCTCCATTTGAGTTGCATTGCCCATTGGGCTCACACTGCCACATGCGCTTATTATTTAATATGATGTTTTCTTAGGCTTATCCGATACTGATAACTGCTTTTTACTTTATCATTTAAACCTAGTCAATTTAAAATAAACAGTAAAAGATGTATGCAAACAAGTATACAATTACAATGCGTATATAATAAGAAAAACTATACCGATCTCATATCACAGACATAGTGTAACATATAGCAGAACAGGCATGTTGGAATAAGAAAGACTATACTGATCTCATATCACCTTTTTTCCTTCTTTCCACTTTTCCAAACTTCCTTTTGTCTTCTTTTTCTTCCTTTTTCTTCTTCCTTTTCCTCAATTTTTGCTCTGGCCCGATTTCTCCTACCCGATTCCCTGTTATACTCTTCAAGTCTCTTCTCTTCAAGGCCTGCACGGGTCACCGTCTCCCAGCAGCGGCTTCATTTCCTCTTAGCATGCGATCTCCAACCCAAAAGCTCCTCCATGCAAAATTACATTTAGTTGGGATGGAATGGAAGTAAAGGTTATTATATTTTTCTCATTTTCCTTAACTGCCCTTCTATTCCACTGGTGTATGGCATCAAAAGTGCCTAATTCTCCTATTTAACTACCCATGCTTCAGTAAACTGTATAAAAGAATAGTAAAATAATTTAAGAACTGTAGGAAAATAATTCCGAAGGGAATTAATTCCATAACTTTCACTCCCTCACAAATTGATATATACTTCTATATATCATTTTACTCCATTGGATAAGTAGAGTACAATAACATGCTTTTTGATTATTTTTGTGAAGTTGCTATTTTGAGTTATATTTGAATTAAAGCAATTTAGCCCATATGTTGAGGAAAATTCGGGCATTTTCTTCCTTATTCAAAATTGGTCTTTTTCATACTCTATCAAATAGGGTTTTGGAGGGAGGGGGGGGAGGGGGGGGGGGGGGGGGGGTGGAATTTATGTTTCATATCCACTTGTCTTTCCCAACTAGCCCTTTCACTTTTACATAAGGGATTGTTCTGCTTCTGAATTCTGAACATCAAATTCTCAGGTTTCTCAATATATGTGAGGTTATTCTGTACCTCAATTTAATCTAGAGGAATCCTCAAATTTCCATATGTGATCCACTTTTTAAGTAGAAATATATGAAAAAACATTGTGTATTTCAGACATGCTTATTTGTAAGCAACCTTTCTAATTCTCTTAATTATTTCAGATGGCCTCATATATCTCGAACTGAACTTTCCTCGGCCAAATCTCGAATGTTTTTTATAGGTCTAACCTTTAAGAACACAAATTCTCCGGCTTCAAATTCAATTATTTTATGTTTGGGGTCAATAGTACTTCTTTTGATAGTCCTAAGAAGCTTGCAGTTTGTCTCTGATTAAATTGATTTTCTTAGTGGCTTGATAGATCACTTGTGGACCCAATAACTGTCTTTCAACAACTTCAACCCCATACAATGGAATTCTGCATTACCTAATTCAATTCCTCTTGTAGTGCTATTTTGATGTTTGATTGATACCTATTATTATAAGCAAGTTCTATCAATATGATATGATCCTCCCAGTTATCACCAAAATCTAAAATAAGTTATCACCAAAATCTAAAATAAACTATCTCAGTAGGTCTTCCAGTATTTAAATAATTCTTTCTGATTGGCCAATCTGTTTGTTGATAAAATGATGTACTGAAATTCAATTTTGTGCTCAAACATTTATGAATATTTTTCAACAGTCTAGAAATAAACCAGCTATCTCAATCTCATATTATAACCTTTGGATTCTATACAATTGAATGATTTCTTACTCGTGTATTTTTGCCAATTTCTCCACCGAATCGGTTTGACGAATAGGCAAAAAGTGTGTTGATTTTATTAGTCTATTAATCACCACCTAGATGCAATCATGACCTTATCTAGACCTAGAAAAAAACATGAACTAAAATCAATAATTATATCCTCCCATCTCCTCTTAGATATTGGCAATGAATGCAACATATTGTTAGGTTTATGATGTTCAGTTTTTATCACTTGATATGACTTACATCTTGCCACAAAATTTACCACAAATTCATTTCAGGTCATCGAAATAATAATTTCAAGTCTTTCACATTTTAGTACTATCAAGGTGAATTGATTAAGTTGAAGAATGAGCTTCAGATAAATTCTCCCTAGTCAAA